GTTAGATTTTAGCTATATGCTAACTAAAAATAATTGCTGTGGAAGACAAGTTCTGCTCTGCAGATATTGCACAGGTTTCTGTTTCATTTTCTTAAAAAGCTCCCACACTTTTGAGCTCTGTTGTCAGGTAGCCTTGATACCAGTGTCTGTCTGTATAATGTCTTGTGACGTCCACGGCCTACCCCAGTTACCACTACTGTGCATGTGTGTCAAGGACAGAAAGGCAGACGTGGCAGTGGAAGGTGTCAAAGCAGTTTGGAGAGAAAAACGAAGTTAAGAACTAAAAAGAACCCAAAAAACGATGGATGGGTGTATATGATATTGATTCATATCGAGCAAATGATGACGATATAGGACGATATTTTCATTTTGCCTCGATATACTGTAACTGAATCATGAATCATTCAAATCGGTATATCGATATAGATCAATGTAGAATTTCACCCCTATTCAAAGCCAAGAAATACATCAAAGCAACCAATGTAAAGGCGGTTGAGCTCCAGCACATGGCCAAAAGTTGCCAAAGAGTGATGACGTCAGGCAAGGCTGAACACAAAGACCTCCAAAGAAGAAGCAATTGGTCTCCAGCTCCAGTGAAGTACACCCTGATGCAGATTGCGGATTAGGATACTAGACGGGTTGGAATGGCCGTGGTCACTGTGAGGTTGTGCAGAATGACCCAGGGTGCAGGCAAAATCCAAAACTCAAAAGGTTTATTAAACTCAAAAGGTTTATTAAACTCAAAAGGTTTATTAAACTCAAAAGGTTTATTAAACTCAAAAGGTTAATTAAACTCAAAAGGTTTATTAAACTCAAAAGGTTTATTAAACTCAAAAGGCTGGCGAGGCAGCTCAAAGTACTCACAAAATGGATCTCTTCAGGAGAACACAAGAACATGGAGGACAACCACAATGGCTGTGGAAGCAGCACGATGATCAAACAAAGACAAGGTGACAAGACACAGAATATAAAGGGAAACTAATGAGGACAAACGAGAAACACCTGGAGAAGACACAAGAGGAAACAGGTGAGCATGGGCGGGGCTGCTGGGCACAGATACACAGGGAAACACTGAAACTTGTAGAAAACTAAAGCAGAGACTGTGACAGTCACAGCTTGTAGGGGAAGTTAATATGAGGCTTTAAAAATTGGGAGTGGTTAATTTTAGAATTTAGTAGCTGGGGTTGATTAATTTTAGAGTTGAGGGCGGAGTCAGACGTCCGACCCCGCCCCATTCCGCAGTCTGCAGCCAGAGGTTACTCGCTCCATTGGGAACTCATGAGACAAAGACTAACATGATCAAATTAGAGATGTGACATTCATGAACAGTCCAAAATGTTTTAAACAGCTCCATAAAACAAATGAAGTGGAACAGCTAAGAACCATTCTTTTTTGTTTCTTCTTCTTTTGCACAAAGTCTGTCTCTGTTTTTGTTACTGATTGTCCATATTCATTAATCTATTCATGCAGAGCATAGATARACTTGTGTTTATGCTGCTGATTCCAGTCTCTGATCAGTCGGTTCAAAAATGTGCTCAGCTCCTGGTGGTCTGATACATTGAGTTGCCATGAAATCACAGACGCATAGGTTCTGTCCACTGTGACCAGTTGCTCATGCATGGCCAGGATGTCCATGATATAATTCAATCAATCAATCAAATTTATTTCGAACATGACGACCATACAATACAAAGAGATAACCATACTTAAACATATTACACATATTAAATACAAAATACGCATATTTTATGACAATAATAATCTCAACATGTTCGAAATGGAGTAGGAAGAAGTAAAAAACTTTTAAACTCATACCTCGTACTATTTTCAAATACTATATAATATTAAAACCTCAGGCTAACTTAGTAAATTGTTAAATTACAATGTAAATTTATATTTAACCTTGTACAACCCTTTGTGTTACAATCACTCCTCATATCTACACAGTAAAGGATACATATAACACATGAATTTAATACACCTGAACAAACATTGAGATTTAAGTATATTCATCCAGCTATACACATACATTCATATGCGCTTATTAGTTTACATATACCCATTTAAACACCCACTCACCCATTCATATTTCGATATCCTGAAAAAATAGCCTCCTTATATTTTCTTTTAAATTGTATTAAACTTTGACCTTTTTAAGTCCTCTATTAGTTTGTTCCATAGTTTGACACCATGAATTGAAATACAAAAGCTCTTTCTTGTTGTGCGTATCCTACGACTCCTTAAATTTAAATAACCCCTTAAATTATATGTCCCTTCATTATCAAGAAACAATTTCTGCATGGGTTTGGGTAATAATTTATTTGAATCCTTGAACATAATTTGAGCAGTTTTAAACTCCACCAGGTCTTTTTGTAAAGCACCCGAGATTTACTTTAGTTCTGAAATGGAGTTCTGAAATGGYGCTATAAAAATAAACAATTGAACTGTGGTAATGAAGTAGCACTTGAGATCTCTCTAGTACTCAGAAAAATCTTTGGTTTCAGCTACTTCCAAGTAAAATAATATGTTAATTTGCTTCAGCTGAGCTGTGATGTAAAGGTGAAAAGCAAAGATGGACAAAAACATGAGTGGTATTATTAGGATCTTTGCTCTATAAATGTACTCTACTGAAGATAAAAGTGCAGTGGAGAATTCTTTGAGAACCCTTGCTGTGTAAACCAAGGCCACTAATGTTTCTGGAGGAGCTGTGAGCAACAAAAATTGCAACACAGTAAAAAAAAAAAATAAAAAAAGGAGGAGAAAACCCAAGACTGCAGAGTAGGCTACCACTCAGCATCATCCTAAACCAATCAACACTTTAGGGTTAGGGCTTGGTCCAGATTCTTCTTAATATCAGACATGAATAAAAGCTTATAAACATGTGTTTTTAACTTAGGTCATATCGATGATACTCAAAGAGCTTCTGAGGTGGTATTCATTGTGAAATGTTAGAGAACCCCTAGTTTAGATAGCTAACAAGTTAGCGCTTCCATTTTTCTTATGAAAATGTCACAACAGAAGCTAATTTGAGTGTTTATCGGTTCACCAGCTGCTTGGTTTTTAAAAAGTGATTCTCTAACATCACAAGACCTAAGAATATCTGTTGGGCTGAAAGAAAAAAACAAACAAACAGCAGTTATATTTGTACTCAAGCTGAAGCCTCAAGTTGTTTATTTTGTGTGAACAAAAGTTCTTGAGAGTCTTTGGTGTCTTTTCAGTTTTATTTAGTTACATTTTTGCTCCCTGTTTCAGATCAGAAGAGAGGCACATGAAGTCTCAAATAAATTAGACATGAGACTCCTGTCAACACAAAGGAACTACTGAAACTGTGGTGCTATTTTGACCTAATTGAAAACACTCTTTAGTGATCCAAGTTATCCAATATCTTTTCTGATATTGTAAATACAGTTAGGTCCATATACTGTATGTTTGGACACTGACACAAATTTAGTCTTTTTACCTGTCTACTGAAATATATTCAAGTTATATATAATGTACATGGACATAAAGTCCAGACATTCAGCTTTCATTTGAGGGTATCCACATTAAAACTGGATGAAGGGCTTAGGAGTTTCAGCTCCTTAACATGTGCCACCCTATTTTTAAAGAGAMTAAAAATAATTGGACAATTAACTCCAAGGCTATTTCATGGACAGGTGTGGGCAATCCCTACATTATGTCATCCTCAATTAAGCAGATAAAAGGTCAGGAGTTGATTTGAGGTGTGTTGCTTGCATTTGGAAGGTTTTGCTGTGAAGTAAACATGTGGTCAAAGGAGGTCTCCATGCAGGTGAAACAAGCCATCCTTAAGCTGCAAAAACAGAAAAAAATCCATCTGAGAAATTGCTTCAATATTAGGAGTGGCAAAATCTACAGTTTGGTACATCCTGAGAAAGAAAGAAAGCACTGGTGAATTCCATCCATCCATCCATCCATCCATTTTCTTCCGCCTATCCGGGGTCGGGTCGCGGGGGCAGCAGCTTCAGAAGGGAGGCCCAGACYTYCCTCTCCCCAGCCACTTCTTCCAGCTCCTCCGGGGGAACTCCAAGGCGTTCCCAGGCCAGCCGAGAGACATAGTCCCTCCAGCGTGTCCTGGGTCTTCCTCGGGGCCTCCTCCCGGTGGGACGTGCCCGGAACACCTCACCAGGGAGGCGTCCAGGAGGCATCCTTACCAGATGCCCGAGCCACCTCAACTGGCTCCTCTCGACGTGGAGGAGCAGCGGCTCTACTCTGAGTCCCTCCCGGATGACCGAGCTTCTCACCCTATCTCTAAGGGAGAGCCCAGCCACCCTGCGGAAGAAACCCATTTCGGCCGCTTGTATCCGGGAACTCGTTCTTTCGGTCATGACCCAAAGCTCATGACCATAGATGAGGGTAGGAACGTAGATCGACCGGTAAATCGAGAGCTTCGCTTTCTGACTCAGCTCTCTCTTCACCACGACGGACCGGTACAGCGCCCGCTTTACAGCAGATGCTGCGCCAATCCGCCTGTCGATCTCCTGCTCCGTTCTTCCCCCATTCGTGAACAAGATCCCCAGATACTTAAACTCTTCCACTTGAGACAGGGCGACCCCCCTGACCCGGAGAAGGCACTCTGCCCTTTTCCGGCTCAAGACCATGGCCTCGGATTTGGAGGCACTGTGCCTCATCCCGGCCGCTTCGCACTCGGCCGCGAACCGCTCCAGCGAGAGCTGCAGATCTCGTTCCGATGAAGCCAACAGGACCACATCATCTGCAAAAAGCAGAGATGCGATCCTAAGGCCACCAAAACGGATCCGCTCACTGGTGAACTCATCGATGCAAAAAGACCTGGATGTCCACGAAAGACAACAGTGGTGGATGATGGCAGAATAATCTCCATGGAGAAGAGAAACCCCTTCATAACAGCCAACCAAGTGAACAACACTCTCCAGGAGGTAGAAGTATCAATATCCAAATCTACCATAAAGAGAAGTCTGCATGAAAGTAAATACAGAGGGTTCACTGCACGCTGCAAGACACTTACCGTATAAGCCTCAAGAGTAAAAAGGCTAGACTGGACTTTGCTAAAAAACATGTAAAAAAAGCAGCAGAGTTCTGGAAGAGCATTCTTTGGACAGAAGAAACCAAGATCAACCTCTACTAGAATGATGGAAAGAGAAAAGTCTGGTGAAGGCGTGGTGCAGCTCATGATCCAAAGCATACCACATCATCTGTAAAACAAGACAGACACAGTGTGATGGTTTGGGCATGGCTGCCAGTGGCACTGGGTCACTAGTGTTTACTGATGATGTGACACAGGACAGAAACAGCTGAATGAATTCTGATGTATTCAGAGACAAACTGTGTGCTCAGATCCAGATAAATGCAGCCAAACTGATTGGTCTGTGTTTCATATTACAGATGGAAAATGTCCCAAAACATAAAGAAAAAGCAACCCAGGTGTTAATTAAAGCAAAGAAGTGGAATATTCTTGAATGGCCAAGTCAGTCACCTGATCTCAACCCAACTGAGCATTTGACTTGTTTCAGACAGAAGGGCCCACAAACAAACACCAACTGAAAACCGCCACAGTGAAGACCTGGCAGAGCATTAAAAAGGAGGAAACATCTGGTGATGTTCAAGACTTCAGGCAGTCATTGCCAACAAAGGGTTTTCAACCAAGTACTAGAAATGAACATTTTATTTACAATTATTTAATCTGTCCAATTACTTTTGAGCCTCTGAAATTAAGGGATTGTGTTTAAAAGATGCTTTAGTTCCTCACATTTTTATGCAATCATTTTGTTCAACCCACTGAATTAAAGCTGAAAGTCTTAACTTCAGCTGCATCTGAAATGTTTTGTTTAAAATTCATTGTGGTAATGTCTAGAACCAAAATTAGAAAGATGTTGTCTCTGTTCAAATATATATGGACCTAACTGTATAATACTCTGATTACTCTGAAGCATTACATGAGGGACATTAAACAACTTCTGAATATTAAGAATAAAGCTTCCTACTATGTACTGTTGTCACTTGATTTGTCCTCACTTTATGTTTGGTTCTAATCTAACGGTTGATGTAGTTGTAAAAGGTTTTGATCAAGTAATACATTTCTAGRAAAACATAATATTTACACAGGTTTACACAGTGTGCATGTCACATGTTACATTTTCCTCCCAGTACTTTTATMCAACAGCACAATTCACTTTACTCATGGTTGACTAAAGTGCACAACCCCAAAACAAAAAAGACCATTCTTGGCATCAACTAATCATCCCCCTCCTTCTTTTAAACAGACACAAGACCCCTGCCTATGTGGGGTCTGCCATTAAAACCCATCTTCTTCTCAAACTGTGCACGTAGACCTGTATGGCTACAAGCCAATGAGATGCACTGACTGCTGTTTTTTTAAACCAGATTATGTCCAGAGGAGTCGGGTCAGGAGTGTGTGTGTGTTTATTGAAACGTTGGGTAAATCATCATTTACTATGATACAAAAGTAGATGGTACACAGGCAATAATGTTAAAGCAAAAAAATGGGTACAACTGCTTGTTTCTGGTGAATTGAAAGTGTTTTGTTCTACCAGTCTTGTTCTTTGTGTCTCTCCACACTTCCAGACGGTACCCTGGCTGAGTAGACAAAGCCATGAATTACCAAGCTCCAACAGCGTGCCCCACAACATGGTAGGCTGCCAGCCATTCTTCAGGGTAGTTGGAAGATGGAGTCCAGACTCAGAGTGACTACTGGGATTTTCCAAGGCCACCTGGGTGGCTAACAACAACAACCACAACAACAACAAAAAAAACACATTGTTACCAGACACGAGATGAACAGTGGACATTTTTGACAACAATCTTCACAGATAAGAAGACTGAGATTTTATTCTTTAGTTAGAACAATCTAGACTGGTTCAAAAGTATTTTCTATCTGCCTCTTCTTTAAGAACAGACATCCAGTGCAGCCAAATATTTTAGATTTGGATGAATCATGTTGCTATTTTTTAACTCAACTTTTTAAYCATAATTCTGTTTTTAAGTTCCTCTCATTTTTAGAGATTGACCATGCCTCAGCCAAAGGCAAAGTCAAGCCCACCGCCTAAAGACATTAATGAGTTTTCCATCAACGTGAAGAAAACTAAGACCGTCTTCTTCCAAAGAAAACGATTAACGAGGAGGTCTCCTCTGAGAAAATATATAGATATTGAACACCAGCAGGCGGGACTGCTGTCTCTGACTACACACAGCGAGCTCGCTGATGCCAAAGTTGACCTGGCAAAAACGAAGAGGAAGAAGTGTGGGACCTGCCCTCCCTGTCTTCGCAAAGAGAACTGCGGGACTTGTGGCAACTGTCTGAACCGCAAGAGGTGCAAACAGATCTGCAAGGAGCGCAAATGTGACGAACTGAAGAAGAAACGGAGCGAGAGGGAACTGAGTGAGGTATGATGTCACTCTACTTACTGTATATCCTTACTAATCTTAATTCTAACTTAAAATAATCATCCATAATTTCTTCCTTTGTTCTTAAGTTTTTGTTTAATTTAGCCAACACAAAATGACTATTGTGAGTTTTACAGATAGTGTGGTTGTAGCTGAGTCATTCACAACACATACAGTATAACGTTTTATAATATCACAGGAGTTCACAGATTATTTTCAAGTTTTGACCAAACTGACAACTCTGTCTTAACATAAGATGATCTTAGTCTTAAAATYTGGGATAAAAAGGCAGAAGGCGATGGCTAGGCTAGTAATATTAAAAACMTTTTAATGAGACCATTTATAAATAAAAACAGACTAACTCTGYCAAAAATTGTGTTTCAAAGTGATCAAACTTAGGCTACGTTCATACTGCAGGCAAATGCGACCCATATCTGAATGACCCAGGCCGTTTCAGTATGTGGTTTTAAATCGGATACATACATATCTGATGTTTTCAAAGCGACTGCAGTGTGAACGCTCATGTCACATTCATCTGACTTTTTCATCAGGAGGAGGGGCTGAAGGATCGATAAGACACTAACCTCAAGTCTCGCTGATTAAATCTGTAGCTCCGTGTGTTTACAGCTCCAGAACACAAGTCCAGTTGCTTTGTCGTTTTACTTTTAATTTTCCATGTCCTGGATAGTATGATAGTAAGGTCTAGTTTCGTTGTGGACCGTATCAATCCTAAAGTTACTTGGTCGATATTTCCAGCTTGTTGCTTTATTTCAAAAATGAAAAGCTGCCCAGGAGCATCCCGGTCAGAGGCAGGTTCAGATATAAACACTGAATAAAACAAGCATGTCAGATAATTATTTAATCGGCACTGATTGAACAAWAGCTTCAGATCCAAYGTGCTAAAAGTAGCATCCATACTAACTCTGTAAACAAACAGCCGTTGTTTTCTGTGCGTGCAGGTAATATCAGTGGTGTGTACAGTTCACACTGGAGTCTGATGCAGGTCACATTTAAGATGTAACGTGAACGTTCACGCCAAAAGATCACATTTAAAAAAAGAATTAGAATTGAGCATTAAGACCTGCAGTGTGAACATAGATAAATTATCTGCTTTTATCAGGAGTTACATCCTGGATCTCACATTTTATTAAAACTGTTTATTATTTTTTTTTTTACTATAATATGTTTATTACACACTATTAGAGACAAGTCATGCATCTTTTTTCAGGAAGGAGCATTCAAACAAATAATTTAAGCTTCCAACATGCTGTTGTTACTATTGACAAGCCAGGACCTCCTTCTTCTCAGACTGGCTTTACAGGAAGGTTTGTTTTAACTGATATTTACTCAGTTTTTGCACCAGTGGAAATTCCCACATCAGTAACAAATCTGGATCTTACACTAAAAACTATATCCCAAAATAGGACATTTAAAACCTGCAAGTCACCCCCCCCCCCTCTTTTGATAAACACACAGCCCCATTCTTTTTATATCCTTGTTGAGCCAGATTAGATGAAAGAAATTGTTCTCCCAACTCAAATACAGAAAGAAAATTATACAATGATAGGACACTGTGTCCTTACAAACATGGATTAAGTCATATTATTCAATGTTTTAAATCTCAGTTATAGTTGCATGCAATTTTGTAAAAGTTTTTCTTTCTGTTGCTTTTTGAAAAGCAGCATGAAAGCTGCACGGAACAGTTATTAAAAAGCGAATGTGTGTTTTGTCACGTTGGTAGTGATGTTTAACCTTCCTGACTATTTGGTAATTATTGCCGTCTTATTTATTAATATTCCTTAAGACAAACCATGGAGCTAGTTTTAGGCTGTGAAGTGTGTTTGTTTGGTGGAGACGGTGAGAGCTACCAGCATCAGTGGAGAATTCCTGCCATTGCCTGTGTTTTGTCCTTTGACCTCTGTGGCTTCAAATGAGTGTGGGGGTTAACCCTTGTCCATTTTGTATTGGTGTGTGTGTGTGTGTGTGCATGTGTGTGTGTGTGTGAAGAAAAGGAGAGAGTGCAGTTTCTTTAAGCGGTCTCTTGTGCGTTAATGGACGTGTACATTTGTGCCCATGTGTGTTTGAACGCACAGCAGCATCTTAAACAGAGGGGGGAAGGGCTGTAAAAGTCAAAGAGGAGGACAGAGGGCTGGGTAGATGGTCAGCAGGAAAAACAAGAATAGACTACAAAAGGGTGTCCAAGGAGCGAACACAACGGCCCCGTGCAGGTCAACATAAACAGCAAACAAGCAAGTCTTTATCCTTTTTACAAATATTCCTACACTTACAATGAATATAAAAAAAATGCACAAAATCACAAAACTGATATTTCTTCAAAACACCAAGTTTTACAGATGAAAACAGTGAAATCATAGACAGTCATTTTGAAAATTTTCTACCTTCAGTGAGRCATAACATGTTCAAAACAATAAATTAAATCCTTTGTAGAAATACACAATACCTCACAAAAGTGCACAACTTCAAACTAGGGTTGGGCGATATTGGCAAAAAATTAATCACGATTAATTGTGAGATTTAGCCAATAATGATTAATATGACGATTAATCCCCTGGACGCCTGCATGCCCTTTTTATATGACCAATTTAAATCATTCTAGTGAGAAAGATTTTCTCTCTGTAAAAATCTCTTCCAAATTGTGTCGAAAGTACAGACTTCAGGCTATACACCAATTTTTAAATTGTGTTGATTAACCAAGTAAAATGGGAGTTATGATAAATAAAGAACCTTTTTTAAAAGTTCATCGTATTTGAAGTATAGAGGAGCACTGAGTGGACTGATCTGGGAAAGCTTCAGTCAGTCTGCCAGGTGTCATTAATCGTATTAATCGTCAAGTGCCAAAAAATAATTAAAGTTTTTCTGACAATTAATTGTACACGATACAATTTTGCCCAGTATTTTGTTGAAGCAGCTTCTGATTTCATTAGAGCCTTCAGTCTTCGTGGGGAGGAGTCTATCAGCTGACCACACCTTGACTCGTTAATATTTGCCCACTCTTTCTTTCCAAAATGCTCAAAGTCCGACAGATTGTGTGAATATGTTTTGTGCGTCTTCAGTAAAAAATGGAACAAGTAAAAATGAGAAATAAGAAACCCCACAGCATGATGCGGACACCTACGTGTTTTACTGTAGGTTAGGTATTCTTCTGGTGTTCCTGTCAAACACCTTTTCAAACTGAAGATGAAAAGTTAAACTTTAGTTTCATCACACAAAACACATGCTTTTGAGAAATTTACTGCAATATTTATCTGAGCCTGAAAGTGTCCCTGCCCCCTAGTTCAGACATGTGGAGAACAAATGACTGTGCTCTTATGTAGATTGCAACCAGATCTTGTCAGAACCTCCTTCAGATCCTACAGAGCTGTTACAGGGGAGGGGGTTCTGCTGCCTTCCCGAACAGTTTCTCTTTTGTCTTCATCGGTATTAAAGGCATGACAGCTKTACTGAACTTTATTTCAAGTTGATCAGAGTCACTTTAAGTGATAGAATGTGTGCTCTCAAGAAGAACAATGGCAGTAACTAGATCAAATGCTGCTGTTGGTGGTATTTTAATGACTTGCACACTAGTGTAGGCRTCTTATAACATGTTTTTATTTTTCCTTGCAGTAGATTTCTTCTTTTTTTATTTCACTTGTATTGTTCAGGGTGTATGTCACACATTGAAACACAGTGGCTTAGTTAGCAGTGCTGTTGCCTCTCAGCAAGAGAGTTGCCAGCTCAAATCCCGGCTGGGAACTTTTCGTTCACATGTTCTCTCCGTGCATGTGTGGGTTTTCTCCGGGTACGCTGGTTTCCTCCCACAGACCGAACAACATGAATGTTAGATTAATTGGTAACTCTAAATTCTTCCAAGGTGTGAGTGTGAATGGTTGCTGTGATGGACTTGTAACCTGTCCAGGGTGTACCCCTCACCCCTCACACAGTGACTGCTGGATATGGACACCAGTGACCCTGAAAGGAAGAAGTGGGTACAGATAATGAATGGAATTGACTATTTTAACAGGGATATTCAGACTTTATCAATTGTATGACACACACACACACACACACACACACACACACACACACACACACACACACACACACACACACACACACACACATTTGTCTTTCTATACATATAGGGACATTACATTGACTTCCATTAAATTTCTACAGCCTAACCCTGACCTGCTACCATAAAACTAACCTCACAGGTACCTTACCTGACCCTAAACCTAACCTAAACTCAATTCACACCTTGGCCCTAAACCAAACCCCCAACCCGCCAATAGCATTTAAACCAAAAGGGGACTCAGCTTAGGTCCCCGTACCAGTGGTCCCCACATGTAGTTATTTTTTTCTTAAAATAGTCCTCATATGTCACAACCCCCCACCCCCACACACTCAAACATATTATTAACACTATTTTCTATATAGTGAAACAAGCCAATTTTCCTTAAAATATGTGTTTTGATGACCAGTGGCTTAATAAATGTTTTTGGACTGAAGATGAAATGTAATAAAAGTTGGAATCTGTACCAAAGCCATCCAAACCCTGTATGAAAAACAAAATGAAACATTTGTTAAGATATGAAATAAAACTGTAAAACAAAGATTAAAAAAATCCATTTTATTAAATTGAATATCTTAGATTAAATGTTTTTCAAATGAACACAAACATCTGACAACAAACTAATCTCGGTGATCTAGAGTTCAGAGTTTGCCCCACACACCTTCATTTCCAACATGCACAGGCAGAACATGTTATAAASMCATTTTCACWGCTCCGAAACACACTTGTTTCACTRATAGTATGCCATWTGCAYAGCTRAACAGTTTCCCACTTATTATGTYGRGGAAATTAGAAGAGTGCAGCCAATTATATTCCGGGGGTGGGGGGTGTTAAGTTTATCATTATTGTTCATTTATAAATCATTTTAAAACCAAAGAGCTGTACAGCCACATCAAAAATAAAATAAAAATAGTAATAATAATAATACAAATACTAAGCAAAACACAGGGTTAACAGAATTAGCAATGAAGTCAAAAAACAAAGGCTGGCCTAATGGTGCTCTAAAGGTGCTCTCTGGAATTATACACCTGTTTAAAAAGATAAGTTTTTAAAACCATTTAGAGACCCAGCAGACATCACAGGCAATGGGCGATTGTTCCAGAGTCTAGGACCTGCGACTGAAGAAGCTCTGTCTCCCATGGTCATGAGCAAGCTGAGACCTTGGAAGAACTAAAAGCTTATGATCTCCAGACCATTCAGACATTTAAACACTAAATCGGGGCGATGTGTTCATGTCGTCTTGTCCCTGTTAGTAAATGGGCAGCTGAATTCTGAACCAACAGTTGACGACGAACCAAACTGATCAGTCCCACAATAAATTCCAGTCCAGAAGATTATTTATCACCAAACAGAAAATATGGCTTTCTGTCGGCAGCCTTCATGCCCGTTTGTTTTAAAACTTATAAAGTAGTAGCATGACATGTGAGAGACACTGAACAACTTTGCAGGAGCAAAAGGTTTTATGTTGTACACTTAATAATTAAATCAACATAAAAAAATGTGGTTTATAGAACAAGCTGGTCTTTCAACATTTGTAGATTGCATAGCACAGTACAGAAAAGACTGAAAGTTAAAATATATAAACTCGTGTTCACATCTTAAGTAATCACATTCACTTGACATCTTCCTGTGTATTACTTTATGCTGGAATTTGGCTACTTGCGCTATGAATATGTAGTGCAACAATACAGAAAATTCACTATTTGATTCAATATTTTAGTCTCATGGTTCAATTTTTTTGCTATACAGAAAAGTAGACATTTCCATGCCCTTTTTAACTTGCAATTTATTGAAATTAATTATGAACATTTGTTTAACCTTAGAAGTACAGTTTTTAAATCACATGTTGCTGAAACAGCAAGTTTCCCAGTGGATCTATGCYCAACAATGCAGCCTAGGTGGAGTAGTCGAACACAGATCCACTGATCCTTCAACACAGAGCATCTTCAGAAGACAAGCTGATAAAATGAATTTTACAAATCTGTATTCATTCGTGTACAAGTATGTATTGAACTTAAAGCATTGTATTCAGAAATTCAGTAAAGATACATGCATCGTTGCACCCCTTATAAATTGGTATCCTCCTACACCTCAGTCACATACCCGGAAGCTTTTTACCATTATGGCAGGAGGAATAAAGGTTGCCTTTTTACTTTCCTGTGTAAAAAAAACAAGAAAAACAARTAGTTGGGCCATGTTCAGGCTGATTTTACACATTGTAATAGGGTTGTCATCCAGTATGAAGAGGGCCTGAATTTGAATTTGTAGACACAGATGGTGAATGATGGTGTCGAGAGGTAGAGTTTGTATGTCTGTCAATCATTCAGTGAGTGAATGATCTTATTTTTATTCCTGAACACCCATTTTTTTTTTTGATCTGCCTAATGCATAAAAATAGATGAAAACACTTTACAAAAACACATTTGTAGCACCGGATATAATTGATCTTTTTATCGCTCATCTTCTCTTGTAATACGAAACCACAGCTATTTTTACAGTGCTGAAATGTTTGTACTGCGAACATGGTGCGAGCAGCGCTGGGTCAAGTTAAACAACTACCCCGGCCCTCCTGCTCCGAAGCGTGTAGAAGGCTGCGCTCGCTGTCCAGCTCACCACAATCACGCCTCTGCTCGCACATAAACACACACACGTGGCCCGTCTGACGTCAGCAGAGGGGATTTCCCATGCCATACAAGAGCATCAGACAGACACCACAAATGCTGTGTCACCATGCGGCTGCTTCTCCTCGCCATGTCACACGTTCAGCTCCCTCCTTCTTTTYGATTCTCTCATGGACTGGCCGTCTCTCCGCGATCTGCCGTGTCTTTGCCGGCCTGCCTGAACTTTCTCTGAATTTATCTTGCCGTCCTGCGGTCTCTGCCTCCCGCAGCAGCTACTCTCTGTTCCGTACACGAAGGCTGCCTTTGATATCAGCGTTCGCTACGCTTTACTTTCCCCCGTGTCACAAAACCTAGTCGGGGACATTTGCTCTAATGAGCTTGGGTGGAAAAAGAGACTCACATCTTACGCAGCATCTGGTTAATGATGTTGACAAAACTTTTTTTTTCCCCATCTCCGCTGCACTTTTGTAGCTTTGCCAGCAACCTTGTCAAAAGCCCGTGCCAGTATCTGATGGAAAGATGCAAGTCTGAGATTTTTCATCATGGGAATGTAAACACTAAAAACACAGGCCTTCGAAGTATGCTTGGTATGTCATTCTCAGAAAGTCTTTAAAAGTTAAACAGAAAAAAGAGAGAGAGAGAGATAAAAGGGAAAGTACGTCACTGGCAGCCTTTTGTTTAAAGTGAAAGGTTGACCCGGCTTTTCCAAGAGTTTGCTGYGCAGCTCAAGCACAATCACAGCTGATACCTTGCCGGGACAGCGATGCTCGTGTCGCTTCAGCGGCGACTCGTGGAAAATGTCTGTGGCGTCTTGTGTTTCCTCTACGCTCGCTCTGAGTCAGCGCGGTGGGCCGTGCTACGTAATTGTGCTTTCTGCCTGTCAGACCGGCGGAGGTGTCTCGTCGAGGGGTACCATGCGACAGTGTCTGAATGAGCGCGCGCGTGTGTGTGTGTGTGTGTGTGTGTGGACGGCTTTGCTGTGCAGTCCAGTCCAGTTATTACAGCCAGCCCTGACACAGATGGTGCTCAGCGATACCACATACCAGAGGCATTGTTTAGGGAAGGCGAGTTCGAGGAGATAATTGACAAGCATAGAGAAGACCCATCCCCCTCATAACACACACACACACACCTCCCACCTACCTTCACTTTGTCTCTTTATGTCAGCCTATCTTTTATGGCACTGCACACACACTTAGACCCTTTTTTTATACCCCCTCTCTTATTTCTCTCAACACCCTCGCCTGCTCTCCTTCAGTTTCACCCAGCAGCAGAGACCAGCTCAGCCTCTGATTGGTGGACAGGCCACCTTTGTGTGCTATCTCTGGTGTGACGTTTCTCAGGCGAGCTCTGTGCACTTGTGTGTGTGTGTGTGTGTGTGTGTGTGTGTGTGTGTGTGTGTGTGTGTTTGTGTGTGTGTGTGTACATTAGTTCATGAGTGTATATGTTTGAAGAGCGATGTGGGGGAGGGGGCGGTTGAGGGGACATTACATGTGAGGGCGGAGAGGAAGAAAAAAATGCACGAGTGGGAGGAAGGAGCGATAGTGGTCACAGAAAAAAAATCCTGTCTGTGTGTGTGCGTGCGTGTGTGTGTGTGTGTGTGTGTGTGTGTTGTGTGTGTGTGTGTGTGTGTGTATGAGGTAGAGCTATTGGCATATGAGCAAGAGGGAGGGCAGGAGGGGGGGGGGTGCGATAGAGCAAGCGCAATGAGCGAGAGAAAGAGAGAGAGAAAGAGAACGTGCGTACGAGGGCTCATGTAAAAACCAGATTAAAAACACAAGATGGCTTCCTGAATGAGCCGCTGGAACACGGACGAGAGAGAACGAGACCGAGAAGGAAGAGAGGGGAGGCTCGGAGAGAGACGAAAGGGACAGAGGGGTGGGGGCGAGGACGAGACAGGGAGCTGGAGTCCTCTGATGGGGATTTGGTGAGCGGACGGAGGAGTACGAACCGAGGCAGCTCCGAGGCTCGGAGGGTAAATATTCCTCTCTCCAGACTATTTTAGGTTTGATAGGTGGGTGGGGGCGTGGAGGTGGGGATTTGGGTGTGTGTGTGTGTGTGTGTGTGTGTGAGGGAAGGTTGGCGGGATTGGGGTCTAGCCCGAGACAAAACAGATCATTTAACAGTGAGACAGCCTGGACCATGAAAACAACGAGGACACGCTGTGTCAAATAAAATATTATTCTTGTTATTGTTGTTATTGTTTTTTACAATTATCAGCCCTTTTTTTTGTCCCACCTCATCCTTTACTAACCTCCGTCACTGACACTTGGGCATACTTTAAAAATTCCTCAGTAATAAAGCTGTCATACAGTTATTCTAGTTTTAAATGTATCTATCTGAAAGCTGTGCCGGCTCTGTACAGAGACGTTACATAATTCTATAGGAGAAGATGAACCTCATTTGCTGTTCCAGCAGCGGAGGGAAAAAAAAATGCCGGCTCACCATTTGAACACAAATTAAAGAAAAACGGWTTCTGAGCTCGGCTGCTTCTTGATGTCAGGACTGATAAGAAGGTGGCGTGTAGGATGGCATACATGTTGATAAACCTCCACGTGAAGGTGGTACATTTTCTTTGAAAAGGCCCGTGTCGCATTGTTCTATTGATTGTTAATCTCACCCCCCCCTCTCCTCCCTCCCATCTCCCTTTGCCCCATTCCCTGTGGTTGTGCTGGGATGTCTGTGAAGGTGGACCACCTTGAAGACAACAGTCGCGGCTGCTCAGAACGACCAGAAGTGGCAGCTGAGGTAAGCGGGGTCACTGGGTTTGTGGGTATTTTTGTCTTCTCTGTCCCGTCTGTGGAATCTCTCCTCATGTTGGTGTGGAAGTTCGCTGTTAGCGCTACCCATGTTGGGTTAATGTTACTCTATGTAGCCACCAGTTCCACATTTCTCTGTGTTCGTCATAGTTTTAGTTTATTTGTGTGTCTTTGTGTGAATATTCAGAGAAAGATGTAACTGTCTGTTTGTGAGCGGCTGTGCTGCCAGGATGTCATTTAGCCGCGGCGAAAGCTAAAGCTTATTATTTTAGCCCCGATGATGATCACTTCTAGCTACAATACTTCCTCCGCCACATTTGTTCTCTCTAAACCGAGTGTCACTTGTTACAAGCCGACTGTTTTAAATCAGCGACTTTTATCTCCACGCCGGTGTTGAACTAAGCGCCTCAGTGATGAGGCGGGGACGTCCTCGGTTTAAAGCATCCCACGCTGCCCGCTGATTGGTGCCAGAGCCAAGCATGTGTAGATACAAGAGACYGGGGAGAGGAGGAGGAGGAGGAGGAGGAAACCCTGCACGCTGGCTCAGGAGCCGGGGAGGGCCATCCTGCTTCTCCTGGGTTCCAGAGTCAAATGAGGTAAAGGGAGTGAAAGTTAGTAGGTCACGCATGCGTAAACGTGCGGGATTGCCGGGCGTAGTAAAACCTGCGGCGTGTTGTCGATGGGAACGACTGTTCTCCGGCACGCCGTGTCGGGGCACGTGCAGGAGTTTTGTGTGAGGGGAAAAAAAAGTGCAGAGAGGCGGCGGAGCCTCACAAAGTGCTGAAAATGAAACGTGTTTACAAGTTTTCTGTGCTAGACAGTGGAAAGCTTCGGTTGGATTTTTACGAACGGGGCCGGGCTGCGTTATGAGCATTATTATATAACATCTGACACCAGCTTTTATGTTCGTTTTATATCTGCAGTGGTACACAATGCAGGTTAGGTTAGTCATTCATTTTAAATCCTAATCTTTGAACATGTAGCTTATCTTTAAGCCTGCCCTAATCTCCAACCATATGCACACTGTCCTTTGATTTTAAAGTATATATAACCATCTGGTTACATGGAGTTTCTTCCTGTGTTTAACAGGTTGGCATTTCTATGTCTTCTGGTTGTCCAGAGCTCCTGTTATTGAAGGCTGGTGAGCTCATCCGGGGTGGAGAGTTTACTTCATGGAGATCCGTTTCCCACACAACCGTTTCCTTGGCTGCATAAAGATAAACACTGTATACATCCTACAAGTTGAGGGCATTCATTTTGGCTATTTCAATGAGCGGTTGTGCAGTATGATTAAGTGTCATCAGCTCCTGCACAAACAGCTTCAACAAACACTGAAACATCACGTGAGAAAAGAAGCAGATGAAGCAGAGCCAGGCAGCATTTTTGCATGGTTTATTTCACGTTTCAGGAAACAAAACTTTCTTTTTTTTCAATGGGTTACCGCAACAGGTTACGAGACAGACGAGGCTGCAGTCGCATGATTTTTCTTTTCTTCACCGCCCATGCACAGGATTTCCTCTTCATACGTGAACTTGGTGCAGTGCTCAGGTGGGAAACAGCAGAGCAGAGGCCCTCGGAGCAGCGAATGCGTGACGGAATATTTGTTAATCATATGTGTTATTTTGTGTATGGAATCCTCTGCCGCGTTCGCAAAGAGTTAACGCTGACCTAGTTTCCGTGGCAACACTGAATATCTGATGACATCATTGCTTTAATTTTAGCCCAGCATTAAAGAGGCGGTCACATGACTAGCTAGCCTGCTCCACGTGGTGTGTGTGTGTGTGTGTGTGTGTGTGTGTGTGGTGTGTGTGTGTGTGTGTGTGTGTGTGTGTG